TGGTCCCACTTGTCTATGGATTTCATTGTAGAACTTCCTAGTTCTAATGGTTATACCACTATTCTCATGGTTGTTGACCGTTTTTCTAAAATGGCTCACTTCATCCCTCTCAAGAAATTACCGTCATCTCAAGACCTGGTACTGATCTTTATAGGTGAGTTTGTCCGTCTGCATGGCATTCCTTACAATATTGTATCTGATAGAGGTTCTCAGTTTGTATCCCGGTTTTGGAGGGCTTTCAATAAGCAATTGGGGATTGAATTGTCTTTTTCATCCTCTTACCACCCCCAGACTAATGGTACAGCTGAGAGGGCTAACCAGTCTTTGGAGTTATACTTCTGTGGTTTCATTAATAGCACTCAAGACAATTGGTCCGAATTATTACCATGGGCCGAGTTTGCCAGGAACAATGCTGGCCATGACTCCTCAGGGCATAGTCAATTTTTTGTTAATAATGGCCAGCAACCTACTGTCCTACTGGCTGTTTTTTCTGATACGGCTATTCCTGCTTTGGATGACCATCTGGCTTCCATCCGTGATACCTAGGTTAAAGTTCAATCTGCTCTGGGTACTGCTGCTGACCGCTTCAAGCGTTTTGCTGATACACGTCAAGGTGCCAACCCTGTTTACCAAGTGGGTGAGAGGGTTTGGTTATCTTCTCGTAACATCAGGCTCAAAGTCCCTAGCATGAAATTTGCTCCTAGGTTCCTTGGACCTTTTCGTGTTCTTCGTAGGATCAATCCTGTTGCGTACTCTTTGGTCCTTCCAGCCTCCTTGAAAATTCCTAATACCTTTCATGTGTCCTTGCTCAAACCTCTTGTTTGCAATAAATATACTGTCTCAAGTGTCCCTCCTCCTCCCTTAGTTGTTTCTGGACAGGAAGAGTATGAGGTCTCCTCCATAATTGATTCCAGGTTTTTTCGGGGCACTTTACAGTACTTGGTGGATTGGAAAGATTATGGACCAGCCGATCGTTATTGGGTTCCGACATCTGATATACATGCTGGCCGCAAGATTCGCTATTTTCACGCCAAATTTCCTCTCAAGCCTGGTCCTGCCCACCCGGTGGGCGTTCTTCAGGTGGGGGGTAATGTCATGTATTCTTCCGCTTAAAAAAATGTGGTTAATGACATTAACATCAATATCTGTTATAAAACCAGGAAAAGGTGGGCATGGATGGTGAACTGATTTGGTGGTGCAATGGACCACTTGACTGGTTTTGCCCCCCAGGCCTAAGGCTGCCAGCCCTCCCCTGAAGGCCGGTTACAGCCTATCAGATCTAAAGGAGGGGTATTTAGGCCCAGTTCTCATCCTGCTCAGTGCCCTGTCGTGGTTTCCCTTGTGGTTGTCCGAGAGTGCGTTATTGATTCATGTAATTCTGGTTATTTGACTTTGGCATTGTTTTTGACTTCCATGTTTTCTGGCATCCCTGACTCCTGGCTTTTCCTTATCGTTGTGCCTCTTTCTGTTTCCCTTGACCTCAGCTATTCCTGACTATTCTTTGGCACGTTAGTCCGGCCATTCTAAGGTCCGGTATACGTTACCTATCAGTCCTCTGTGTTATACAATTCTACGTGCTGGATCATTCTGTAATCCTGACACTAGTATAACTTAGCCAAGAACATTAGTTTGAATGTAAATGCTATGTCATGCAGTATTGAATGTTGAGGCTTTCTGTAGGGACAGGCAGTGATCTGTGGTTGGGTAATGAGATTCAGGTGTTTGGATGGCTGGTAATTTATTGATTAGAGAGGGTCACTCCAGTCACACAAAGCACTTCAGTTTACTGCTTTATGTGTGAAGAGTATGCCTTATTTAATTTTACAAAAAGTGTATAGAAATTGGCACTTTGTTAAATTAACCTTGCTACACCCCCTGTCTGAGAAAGGTAATTGCTCAGAGTACCTGCCTTGCAAAGACTTCTCATTGAGCTGCATGGGGAAGTATGTGATTGGACAGCTGCAGAAAGTCTGGACTGTGTTAGATATACCCCGAATGTAAAAATCTACAATTAATGCATGCATGTTTTCATTGAGAAAAAACCCAGAGAATACTGAGAAAGGACAATAGCTCAAATAGCTTGCCTTTCAGTGGATCCCTGCTCCGATCTCAAACTATTTTGAAACATCTTGTTCCATTACAAAGAGAACCTAGGCCAATTGAATATCTGACTAATTTCATCCAAAGTTGCGGTCTAGATCCAAAATGCAGGCCAGCTCTTTCTGCACGAGAGATAGAAAATGTTTACAGTATTCCCTTACACTCTGTTTTCATTGAGGTATATCTGCTAAACAGTTATTTTAATAACTCCATATTGTGCACCTATTTATTGATTTAGTTATTTTAATTGTATTTGGGATCAGTGGAGTGCCCCTTTGACTTATATATTAGAGTTGTCCAGCATTGCTTTGTGTTATGGTTAGCCATCTGTCACCCTTGGAAACATGTAAGTGAATCTGGAATAAATGGAATTAGCTGATTGCACTGGTAAGGTGTATGTGACCAACATTCTTTAGTTTGTAGTATCATAGGGTTAGAGAGTAGTGATGTACCGAACAGTTCGCTGCGGACTCCAGTCAGCAGACACATTCCAGCCAATCAGCAGCAGACCCTCCCTCCCAGACCCTCCCACCTCCTGGACAGCTCACTAAGAATGCAGCTTCAAAATGGATGCTGTCCAGGAGGTGGGAGGGTCTGGGAGGGAGGGTCTGGGAGGGAGGGTCTGCTGCTGGTTGGCTGGAATGTGTCTGCCGACTGGAGTTCACGGCGAACCGTTCGCGAACAGTTCGGGACATCACTATTAGAGAGTATTTTGTCGCAGGGTTAATAGTCAGCTCTGTCTCTTCTTTTCAGCGAACATGGGAACGTGCATAAAACAAACAAATTTGCATTAGGAAAACAATAAGGCGTTAGCTGGGATGGTAACCACCTCATGTTTAAAATTATCTTTTTATATATGTTGTGTGAGATGATGCATTCATTGGGTTTTGTGCTTATGGGATGGAAGATGTTTCTTTGGAAATTATGCTTATGTATTATTTGAGCTTACCAGGTGGGAGAGTTGTTGATTGGGAGTAAGAGGGGCCTTGTGAACTTTATACAGTAGTGTTAACAAACATTTTCTCCCTTCAGGGAAGTGATATCTGAGACATATTTTAGGGCATTACCATATTTTTTGTCCGATAATAGAATTATAGTTTAGGTGCCAAAGGCACACGGGTTAACCAAACAAAAGGCCAAATTATAGTAAAGCCATAGCAATGAACTTCTGGTAGATTACAGTTTGATACCGCTGATTTAAATGCATAAGGGTAATTGAAAAGTGTTTCCATATAAAACAATTACAATTATAGCTAGCTTTGTCAAAAAAATAGAAAGTACTCTGATCACCCACAACATTAAAACCACTGACAGGGGAAGTTAATAACACTAATTATATTGTTACAATGGCACACGTCAAGGGCAAGTATTAGGCAGCAAGTAACAGTCAGTTCTTGAATTTTATGTTTTGAAAGCAGTTAAAATGGGTAAGCGAAATGGTGACTGACTTTGACATGGGCCAAATAATGTTGACTAAACAAGTGGGTCAGAGCATCTCCAAAATGAAAAGTCTTGTGGAGTGTTCCCTGTATGCAGTAGTCAGTAACTACCAAAAGTGGTGCAAAGTAGAACCGGCATCAGGGTCATGGGCGCCAAAGGCTCAATGATGCACTTGGGAAGCAAAGAATAGCCAGTCAAGCCCAATCACACAGAAGAGTTACAGTAGCTCAAATTGCTGAAAAACTCGCCATGATAGCAATGTGTCAGAACACACAGTGCATCAGTTTTAAACCTTGGGTTCTGGAATTCATGTGGATGTTACTTCAAAACATACCATCTACCTTGAGATAGTTGCAAACCATGTACAACCCTTCATGGCAATGGTGTCCATGATGACAGTGGCCTCTTTCAGAAGGATAATGCACTCTGCCACACTGCAAAAAGTATTCAGGAATGGTTTGAGGAACATGAAAAAGAGTTAAAGGTGTTGTCTAGGCCTCCAAATTCCCCAGATCTTAATCTGATTGAGCATTTTTGGGATGTGCTGGAACAACAAATCCATTCCATGGAGGTCCCACCTCATAACTTGCAGAACTTAAAGGATCTGCTGCTAATGTGTTGGTGCCAGATACCACAAGACACATACAGAGGTCTTGTGGAGTCCATGCCTTGATGTATCAGAACTATTTGGGCAGCATGCTGGGGACATAAATGATATTAGGCGGGATTATCAGTGTATAGCAATAAAACCCCAGCTAATTGTATACTAAATGATTGTTTCAGTAATAATCACATCAAAATTCAGCTACAAAAGTTATGTTTGTGTTTAATATTTTTACCCCTTACGGATTTAGGCAATTGTCCAAGTTGTGAACCAAAACAAAAACTAGAATTTGTGCTATGTTTGTTCAACCTTGTTTTTTTTTTTTTAATGGCAGAATTCCCTTTCTTTTAATATCCTATATGTATACCTAACACAACATTAAGTGTAAATAAAATATTAAAAATGGAAAGAAAATAATAATTTTTGCTTATAATAATTTTACACCTCCAGTGCAACGAAGGAAAAAAAACAACATAGATTCTTATCCTGATTGTTAATTGCCTTGTATGTGTAGGATCCATATACATTTTTAGTAGTTAACCCATGCTAATTCATTACCAACTCCACCACCTAATGCTATTGCAACCTTACTCCTAACCCTAAGCTTACACTCATGCTAACTGTTTACCTACCCTAACCTTACCCAAAATGTTGTCATATTATGTGATATATTTGAAATAAACCAGTGAGGATTCTCATAAGTAGTGGGTGTTCCACGGTAGGGCTGAATGTCCATTCTCCATTAGCTATTATGTTTACATTTTCAGGTCTTTCAATATTCTGGCAATCAGAGCTCTGCATGACCACTCATCTATTCACTGTAAATGAGTAAAATTGTGGATTTTTTTTTTCTTACTTTTTTCTAATTTATTATATTTCTATTTATTATATTATTAACATTCAGTCCCCAGTCATATGCAATTCCCACTTAAGATGAGGGCATATTCGATAAATAAGATTAACACTTCTCTCACACCACTTAAAAATGTTTAAACTAGGCTTATTGTTAATAGTGCATTGTCAAAATAATGTTGATTTCTATCACTCTCCCCCTGCTCGCATCCCTTTCAAAATAAGAAGGTCAGAGAGCAAGTTTAGATTGATTCCCAGGAGACAGGCTAAGAAGGATGGACAAATTATTTTTCACTCACATTACCAGCCATTAACCCTACTTTGACAGAACAAATCACATATAGATTAGTGTGTGAATAATAAATCCAAACCTTTTGAAAAGCAAAAAAAACCAAAATGCAACTAATTCCCTTAACCCACTTGAAAGTCAAAAAATGTATACCTTAATTCTTAGAAAATAGAGTCCTTACCAGAAATAATAAACAAGAAAAGAATATTTGTTATAACGAAAATACATACCTTTCCTTCTAAAAATTCTACCTACTCTAAAGTGGTTTTAAATCTAAACTCTAAGCATCAACACAAATTCACAAAGTGATACAAAGCTATAGCGTGCAATCGCATCTTAACAAAATAAGTGGAGTGTGAAAAGGAAATTCGATTTATTGCAGAATTGCTGGAACTGCTGAAATTAATATCTAAATACGACATTATTTTAATAAATTACAAGAAATACGTTAACATAAACATCTCAGGTTTTCAATAAACGCCAGTTAGTTTTAGACTTTAAAACAAAGTCAGTAGAATTTTAAGTACAAAAAACTAAAATATGAAGAAATAAAAATGTTAACACACTAGACTAATGAATGCTCATAGATTTACAATCTCCAAATACTGAGAATGCTTAAATCGTCATTTGAAAACTGAGCCGGGGATCTGAGTATAGGAAAGCCTGATTATTTTGAATTCTAAGACTGGCTTTGAATGAATACCTCTGAAGGTTGTTTTGTGTTTCTAACTAAATATTGGATGAATTAAGACATTTCCTTTTACTGTGTTTGTCTAGGTTACGTTGAAACGCCAGAGCTTTACTAAAGCTTTAAGCAAACAATCTAGACGAGCATATCTTTGTCAAACGACAACATATTACTGGGTAACATACAAAAACAAAAAAATCTCAAACTGGTACATTGAAATAACTATCAGGATCTTTTAAAGTTTGCTCGGCCTGGCTTCATGAGATGTTTAGCTCACCTTAGCGTTTGTCTGAACTCGTTCCGTGAATGGATTTTTTTGAATAGTTAGATGAGTTAATGGTGAAGTCATTCATCAAAACATTGTTTTGGGTCGAGCAAGAAAACACAATATTCTATTTTGTTTTGTGTGTAGGTTAAAACTCTGGATATCACATGAGCTGATGAAAAAGATGAATGCCATCTTCTCTCCTTATAGCTTGCCATTTATTTTTCCGGGTTGTAATAATGATACATGTCTCTTCAAAGACCAGAAGTGGCTTTACATGCCAGATGCTCTTTTTGAAGAAGTGATTTCCAGTGATGACGTCAAGCTGTTGGCAGGTCTCCATAGAGGATGTACAGTAATAATATGACAAGTGCATTGATATCATGGATCAACTCTGTGTTTTTGTTAACTTGTAAAAAATCTTTTTTAAAGGTTTTCAGGTAATTTTATTGCAGATTAGAGCCACTACTGGTTCTTCAAACTAACTCTGTATTACATTTTAAAGATCACCGATGGTTAATAAAACAAAAAATTGTAATATCAAGTGACATTTACAACCAGCCTTTCAATGTCATTTAAAAAAAAACATTACTTAAAATGTCCCTAAATTTGGAATGCCTTAATTCACTTACAAAGAGGAAAGAAACATTCTATATATTTAAATCTCCAGCACTCTCAACAAAAAGTAATTATAACCAGGGGGGTGACCCACACAAATACAAATAAAAAAAATAATAACTTGTCAGCACTCAAAGGACCTAAAAAGCAAAGCTTTACTGTTGGACATGTATATTGTTTTCCTGGCACTATAGCTTCCCCCCTCTGTCAGCCCCCTCGCCCCCATTTCCCTCCTCCCCCATGGTGCAGAACCTTACCTGGAACCAGGCTCAGCCGGTGGGGGGAGACCTAATGCGGTGATCAAAAGTCGCCTTCGAGCCTTGAAGTCCCTCTAGTGCAAGCATGTTAAACTTGCAGCCCGCAGGCCGCATGTCTCCCACAATGAATATCTTTGTGGCTCGTCTGCCCTGGGGCCACTTTGTGCTGTGGCTGCAAATGATTCTTGTCTTCCCTCCCACAGTCAATCGCATGCTCCCGTGGCACTACAGTGCACAGAGTGGCTGTCTGTCTGCAGAGCAGGCCAGCCATTTCCACTTCCCTCCTGCTCGCAGTGCCATAGGAACATCTGGCCTGCTTGAACAGAGAAGAGTTGGAACTGGAGGACGGGTGGCTCATCTTAAGGTAGGAGAAAAAAGGTCTTGGAGGAACTTCCTGTGTAGTGTAATTTGAGGGAGGGGGTCAGTGTATTAATTGGAGGGAGTAGGTGAGCCACTGTATTAATTTGAGAGAGGGAGGGGGCCACTGTATTAATCTGAGGGAGGGAGGGGGCCACTGTATTAATTTGGTGGATGGAGGGGCCACTGTATTAATTTGAGGGAAGGGCAGGGCAGTGTATTAAATTGGGGGAAGGAGGCGGCAGTGTATTAGAATGGTGTTGAGGCAGTATAGTAGAGTG